CTGTGTTGTCCCCTCCCAGTTTGGCATTCATGTCGCCCATTAGAATTTTGATATCGCCAACTGACGTCTTGTCCAGTGTTGATTGAAGTTGTCTGTAGAATTCCTCCTTTTTCTCTTGCTCTGCATTATTTGTAGGTGCATAACATTGTATGATTGTGACCTTTCTTCCTTTTGAGTTGAATCTTGCTGTCATGATCCTGGAGGAGATTGGTTCCCACTGCATGAGAGCCTTCGATGCTCTTGAGGACATCATGATAGCCACTCCCTCAGTGTGCTCGTGGTTGGCGTCTGGGTGACCGGAGTAGATTATTGATTCTCCAGTTGACAGTTTGGAGAGTCCACTCCCATTCCATCTGCTTTCGCAAATCCCAAGCACTTCGATGTTATACCTTCTCATCTCCTTTGCAATCTGGGCTGCCTTACTGGGTTCAAACATCGTGCGGACATTCCATGTCCCCACGTTTACTTTCGCTTTCATCGAGAGAAGACACATCGGCCAATTGGCTTCCCGAAGGCTTTCACCAACTGGCGTCATTTCGCCTCTCCGATTCCAGCGGGGAATAAGTTTGTTTTCATTTTTTATATTTTGTTTGTGCTTTGAAGTTTCTTTAGCGGTTAGATTTGTTTTACGGGGTAGGGTTGCTAGCCCTATGCCCAACCTTCCCTCTTTACCCGGGCTTAGGACCGGCTAGTAACTAGTAAACTAGTTAACCAGGCGAGGTTAATAACCAGGTATTAGTATGTTTGTTTCTGACCAGGGGTAATAGCTGACCTTTGATCTGCCGTAAAAGCAGGACCGTACGCTGATGAGTTAATTATCTGAGACGTAAGTGGGGTAAAGAGAGCGGAAAATGATTGTGGATAACAGGAGGAATCAAAAATCAGAGAGAAAACGGAAACATCAGTAGCTGGAGGTAGTTGCAACTGTTTGGACTTGTAAGGAGAATTGCTGAGTAAAACCCGCATTTGGTGAAAATGTGACTACGATAATCAAGCTGTCTGGAAAGATTGCATGGAAACTTACATATTTGTAGTAACTACTTGATATAAACTCAATCAAAAGTGAGCGACCATCAGTGGGCGAGATTTGATTAATGGGAAAGGCAGTATGATAACAGATGTATCGCAACGTCAAAATACAAAACTAATACAAGTTTTACATATATCACAATGGCCTTGACTATTTCCAGGCCTTTCTAGACTATAATATTCTATGGAACTTTGTCACTACAACCAATCTGGTAGTCACACGTACTTTTGCCCAAAACTTCGAAGTGAGATGAATTGTTGTAAAGGCCTTTAGGGATATACGGCTTCTTAAGAAGATTTTGTAGAACTTTCTGCGCACCATAACAGAAACTATGTGGAATACTTTATCCGGTCTCATAAAATCAGGCAGCTGTGCCAAACAACGTTCCAAAAGAATACTTATCCACAACTTTAATGGAAGTTGGAAAGTTTGTTAAAAACCAAATAACAGAGGAGTCGGGTTTTCTTGCGACGCCTACAATGAGAATGAGTGAAATTTGAGATACGAGGGATTTGACAACTTATTTTGTTTGCAATATAACAATTGAGTTCAATCAAGAATGTTTAACTTCTTCATGTGTATCTTAGAACTACTTCTAAAGGCAGCTTTTTGCTTTCGATTTCTCAATTCGAAAATCTGAGTATTGGAACCTGTTAGGCAAAGACATCGAAAAAACCTAGTTTCTTAGTTGCTTTATCTTATTCCTTCTTCACTATTTCGACCTGCTTTTCGCGGAATTTTTACTACCAATGATATCATATTTATGAGTGTTTCTCTCTCTAATAGACAGCACTCTTCCTTTGAAAAATGAGACTAGTTAGACAGTAAACAATTGTTTTGTTTGTCTGAGATCTAGATTCATTCGCATAAGTCAAGTTGTTCAAACCAATGGATTCTGATTATCCACTTGAGTAGACGGTGTGTACCTAGAATAAACACAAAAACCAGAAATATTCATGTGCGTTATGCTAGAAACTTCATAACTTGTCACCAAACTCATGTTTGAAAATTTACAATTCGTTTTCATTTTTCACAACAGTCCATGCAGTACTGAACGTTGGGTATCTGTGTCAAAGCAATCTGCATCATGGTTCTAAAGTACCCAGCCAATACCCTCTCTTGTCATTCAAGCACCCCATTTAACTGTTGTGAGCAGACTAAAGTACATTTTGAAACCACTGAGTAGTTTAATGTGATCATCTTCATTTACGTACAGAGTTAGTAACTCGTAGATACAACTAAAAACAGTAATGAGTTCACCACCGAAAGGTTATCAGTTGAATTTCATTGCTCGATAGTTTTCAGTAGTTTTCTAGCTGATCCATGATGAAAAGCCTTTTCGAAACGATTAGTTTTAGACATACCATCTAACCAGCAGTCTCCGTTCACTATAGCTTAAATGGCTTGTAGGAAAAGTATAACGAAGAGTAAATTTAAGAGAAATATTCCGCTGATGAATAATTCTTATTCAACCAACAGAAAATCTTGACTGTGTAAGGGTTCTTCTGAGGTATTGTGTAACGCCTAGAAAGTCAAACAATACAATCCTGACTGTTCTTACTTACTATGTATACCTGTCAAAAGGTTTAACTTTGAAAATCATGGATTCCAATAATTTAGCAGTTCAAATGAAACTCCTAAACAAAGACGAAACAGCTGACCACTGCTAGCAGGTTTTCAACGATTATTTAATCGATGCCAGTAAGGAGTGAAACGGTTAGGCGAGTTGACCACTTCACTTACCTGGCAAGTCGGATCAGCTCTGGTGGGTCAGCATACGGATATAAAATATTCCCTTGGCTCTCGCCACATAGCGTCGTCGTGATATTCGACTACCTTTCAAGGTTTGAGTATGCTGCGTTGCAGTCTGCTCTGTTCTACTATACTGTTGTGAAAATCGCCCATTAAAGGCAGAGGGTATAAGAAGGCTCTAAGTGTTCGGGCATGGTTGACCTTTTAGCATAAATCGTGCGTCATGGTGTTACCACGTCAGTAACGTAGAAGTCAGGTGCACAGTTTCAGCCAGAAATTAGTCTATGAGGTTGTGCACTTTCATCGACTGAGCTGGTTGGGACACGTTACGTATGCCTACCCACTGTCTGCCTCGTCGCACAATGTTAGTTGAAGTAGATTCAGATTAGAAAAGGGTTTAAAGTGGTCAGACTAAAATATAGCACCAGCTAATAAAGTCTTTGACTGTTGGTCTCAGCCACACAGAGCACTTTAGACTTTCTAGCTGAGGTCCATCTAAAAACAGAAACCAGTGGTTGGTGACCCTAGGCGATATATTTCAGAACCGGTCTTAGTTGTGATGATGTATCCACACATTGTCCTTATCAGCATTATCACATTCTTCCTTGGTCTCATTTAGTGACTTTTTACCACTTTTAAGTGCTTTCTTCTTTATCTCTCAATCTATCATCTCAGTGCATTCTCACCTGATGTGTCAATATGAAGTGCATCCACTTGGACCGCTAGGCAGTAATACCAGATTCTATGTTGATATAATTTGTTTGTCGTTAACTGATATCAATCTGTCAAGAATACTATCTTAACACCAATCAATCGCCACAAACCACCATTTGACAATGAAATTCACTAACTATTTGAAGTTATTGTAGAAGTACCAAACTCCGGCTGCTTTAAAACTATTCTGATATCACAAAGCGAAATAAATTTCTTCATACTAGTGAAGTTATTGGTATGCTAAGTCAACTAGTTTGGTTTATCTCAATTGCTGGTAAAGATTCATGTCTAATATATGCACTGAAAGAATAGGATTTCGTTGACCTCACTGATTAATAATCAACTGAAGTGCAACCGTACGGAATCACTGCAACATAACTAAATCCATTTTCTGTAAATAGTTGCTGACCAGCTACTAATTAGCCAGATGGTGTAATTCATTAATGATTTCAACAGTTTCCCCATCATCCCTTGAAGATATAATTCTGCTTAGTAAAGAATTTTCTGAAACAATTGCAAGTTGCCATCATTGATCGGGATGAAAGTGAGAGTTAAGTACAACGTATTCTTTCATCATGATCTGAGTGGCATATTCCGTTCACAGTTGATTTGAAATAATGAGAGAGGGTAAAACAAATCAGCCTGTAACTCTAGACAGAAGTTCATTAGTTCAAGTTTTCACACCTCATAGAAGCATCCAAAGAACAAATAGGAAGAAAAAGATTGATATCAAATTAAATTGATGTGTATCGAAGGGAAATGAATTTGAAAATCAGAGTCAGTGAAAATGTTCAAGACTTAGATGTCAAAGAATGAATACAACTGCACCACCACGATCAATTTTCAGCCACGTCACCTAGAGTCTACATCCATTGATTCCTATCATCCGGAGGACACCAGTCAGGCAGTTAACACGACTCCGATTAACAGTCAAACTTCATGGAGTAGTGCCAAGTATTGGTTAGGTTATCTTTAGCCTTCTCTCAATCCTAATTCGCGTAACATCACACGTAGAGGTAGGTAGTACCGCAGTTTACGAAACATACGCTCATGTCATATTAATTGGTGAAGATATGCAACCTCATCGACTGATTTTCCTTTATTGCCTAACCTCTAAATAGCTTATACAGTAATTTCAACACATAAGCAATGTTGTGAAAACACCTGTGATCAAAAACCACCAGTAATCTCTTCGTATTTTCTGCATTCAAAGACCATGTTTCATACGCATAAAATAGGTCTTAGAGGACTGAAGCACACCAAACCCATGGATAATATATATGCATAAGTGGCATGATAAACTTATTTCTCATTCATTTTACGGACAGTACATCAAGCATCATGAACTCACACGAAATTATTGATTCGTCAATTGAAATAACACTTCCATTAGCAAGTCAGCAAACAGCAATGTACATGACATTATTCTAAGGGAGAAAAAAAAAGTCATTCAAATATGTAGTCGTATTATACAAAAAATATGTTACAATTACGCTTCTAAGAATTACTCTTGTTGAACAAATGGGTTTGGTATAGATTCCATTCCGTCTGCAGGACAAACCAATTCAACTGATGGACCTCTATAAAGAATAAAAGTGTAAAACAGATTGAAGTGGTTATAAATACAACATAAGTAAAATGTTTATTATTTGTTGATAAGTCAATCATAACAATCAACATTCGGGCGATTTCGAGGTATCCGCATACGAGCCCATACACCAACAAAGGTCGGTCAATTCGACCCAGTATAACGGAAGACTACAAGTATCAACAAATAATAATAACTAATGCCCGTCGAACAAGAGGTGGTTATCGTGCCTCAGTGACCCAGTGGGTAATGCTTTAGTGTTTGAAGAAGTGAGTAGGAAGTTCGAGTCTCAGTGGGAACAACATTACACAGACGTGCAGGTATATAAGCAGAAGAGTCTCAAAAAGGATGAAACGCGCGTCCCGGGTTCCATTGCTAGCCACAATCAAGACAATTATAATAATTTCAAGTTGTTATTCATCGTAGACTGACATCAGTTGGAAGAACAAAGAAAACCCGGGAGCACCAGACAGCTGTTTCGTCCTAGTATGGGACTCCTCAGCAGTGCGCACCCGCCAGGGATCGAGCCCGCGACCTTCAGGTTCCGCTGCCAGCGCGTTACCATTGAGCCACTGGGTCAGAATCAAATGGTCCATATTTCCAACTTTTGCTAGCTCACAATATAGCGCAACCGTGCTGGCCATGGAGCCTGAAGGTCGCGAGTTCGATCCCCGGCGGGGTCGTGGGTGCGCAGTGCTGAGGAAACCCATACTAGGACGAAACAGCTGTCCAGTGCTCCCAGGTTTCCTTTGTTCCTCCAAATGATGCCAGTTTGCGATGAATAACAACTTGAAATATTTCCAAATCCCCACAACTCCCTCAAAATTCAATTCAACTGGTGCTCATTGGTGACCAGCTTCGAGAGGTATTCCCGAAGTTCCAATGAGAAGTCGTGACCGGTGGGGGAAAGCGTGATAGTCATGAGGACAGTTACTCAACGATGACATTGGGTGGCGGTTGCGCTATATCGTGAGCTAACAGAAGTTGGAAATAAGGACCACTGGATTCTGATCCAGTGGTAACGTGCTGGCCACGGAACCTGAAGGTCGCGGGTTCGACCCCCCTGGCGGGGCAGTGGGTGCGCACTTCTGTGGAGTCCCGTGCTAGGACGAAACAGCTATCTGGTGCTCCCGGTTTCCTTTGTTCTTCCAACTGATGTCAGTCTACGATGAATAACAACTTGAAATATTTCCAAATCTGCAAAACTCCCTGAAAATTATAATAATGAACCTACACTTCTGTAAAATGTTAGACGTTATCCACTTAGAAAACTATCGGAAAGTGAAGCTTTCAGTAAATAATCACAGTTTACGTAATTTTCAAATGGTGAAGAAAACGAAGCGCACTCAGCAACACCTGTTGTTTGACGGCTAGTAATACTACTTGGCTGCCAACACCTCGGCAGGTGGAGTTGGGTACAAGCACCGTGACCCAGTGGTTGATGATCACCTCCCTGAGCCACAGTTTAATTCTCAATTGATGGAAAATCTATTTTGGGGGTTTGTGGGGATTTAGGGATTTTTCAAGTTAGTATTCATCACATGCTGACATCAGTTGGGGAAACATATTAAATCTGGGAGCACTGAATAGCTGTTTCATCCTATTGTGGGACTCCTCAGCACTGCACACCCACGACCCCGCGCCGCTAGGGATAAAAACCAGGACCTTCAGGTTCCATGGTCAGCACGTTAGCATTGAGTCACTGGGTTGGAATCCGATGATCCATATATTTCCATCTTCTGTCAGTTCATGACATAGCGCGACCATTACCCAATGTCATCTTTGAGTATTTGTCCTCACGACCACCAGGTTTTCCCAACCAGTCACGAATTCTCATTGGGACTTCAGGAATCATCTCTCGAAGCTAGTCACCAATGTGCACTAGATCAATTTAATTTGAGGGTTTGTAGGGATTTGGTGATTTTTCAAGTTGCTATTTATCGTAGTGACTAGCTTCGAGAGATGATTCCTGAAGTCCCAATGAGAATTCGTGACTGGTTGGGGAAACCTGGTGGTCGTGAGGACAAATACTCAAAGATGACATTGGGTAGTGGTCGCGCTATGTCATGAACTGACAGAAGATGGAAATATATGGGTCATTGGATTTCAATCCAGTGGCTCAATGCTAACATACTGACCATGGAACTTGAAGATCCTGGTTTTTATCCCTGGCGGCGCGGGGTCGTGGGTGTGCAGTGCTGAGGAGTCCCACAATAGGATGAAACAGCTGTCCAGTGCTCCCAGATTTAATGTTTCCCCAACTGATGTCGGCACGTGATGAATATTAACTTGATGGAAAACCATTACGATAACTACAATAAAATAAGGGTGAAATACAATCGGGATTTCAAATTAATTTTATCGACCGTCAAACGAAATGCCCTGAAAAATAGGAATTTGATAAAACGGTATTGTGAGCCTGTATAATCTATTTGACAAGCGATAACGACTAGATTGTGTACCTCATTCAGGATAAAAGAATAAATAATGACAATTTTTTAGGTGACACATTTGTTTTTTCGAATGCTTTCTTGCCAGGTTGAAACTGATATTTACACCAAAATATACTACTGAACAACACGAGTAGTTAGAAACCACTGAGGCTGATGTGTAGACTTTGTTAGTCGTTTGACTGATCTCAGCAATTCGACTCTGCGAACCGAGTGTATCTGAGAACACCGCCGATGAGCTCGAACCCCGACAAGCAAAACGGCCGTCTAGAGTTTAGATCACTCCTATCTTGCTGGCGAAGTCTGCAGATCACTCTGAATAGTTCTTTTTACACTTAATATGCTATTTTGTATTCCTCTAAAAAGTATAAAACGACTGAATTCTCAGCTATAATTGCACCATTTAGTTAACGTATTTGTACATCCAATCAAAGTATCTTCTTCTGGTGTCAGCTGAATATCGTGTTAGGAAGTCATTGTTCTATAGTTAATCGCATCGTGCCGAAGCATTATATCGTTCATATATACAGCAGTCCAAAACATGTATTTCGTTTGTTTAAGATACTTTTGATCTTGGGTGACAGGTGGTGGTTTTCAACGGAAACCCCGTTGACACAACAGTTGGACAGTTAAAAAACCACTCACTCAGCTCTGAAAAATTTCAACTTGAACCGTGCAATTTGCAAATTATTTGCAAAGTGATTATCTTATTTTGGATATACCTGTCCATGCAAGTCAGCCAGCCAGATTCATATGGTGTGAACAAATCGGCTGTGAATTTGGCCGGGTACACCGCTAATATTCATATCAGCAGAAGAACTCTTCAACTTATTAATTTAATATTATTATCAAATGATTTTACAGTGTCTTATATGTAGGTTAGCTGAAAAGGTTGGTAAAACTTTTCATCCATCAATTTTACTTGAAGCCTACGTTACTTCTACATACTAAGTACTGTATTCAACAACTGATCGGATATCAGGTTACATAAAATAATGCACAAATCAAAGTACTCAAAAGACCCTAAACATCATGCGATTTAGAGTTGATAAATATTGTTGTATTAAGCATACAAAATACATTAATGTTGTTGCTTGTGTTCAAAGACTGGCAATATGGAGGTATTCGCGCAGGAGCCCATATGCCAATAGAGACTGATCCATTCGGTCCACTCAACAACGGGACAATACAAGCAAAAACATTAAAACTATACCCATTACACAAGAAGTGGCTATTGTGACTAGGTGGTCTGGTGGATAACGCTCTGACGTTTGAAGCGACCGGTCCTGAGTTCGAGTCCCAGTGGGAAGAAACATCGCCCACTGGGAGCCAGCAGATACATTCAGCTAGCAAGTCCCAAAAAGGAAGAAACGCGTGTCCTGGATTCCACTGCTAGTTACTATCCATCATTCATATATAGAGAATACGGTTTGTGAGTAATAACCTAGTATTCACTATGAAGTTAGCCTAAAGATTTATTCTACTTGAAAATAATTTGGAATTATCATGTTCAGAATTGTGAGCCGTTAATTTTACCTCCATACAATGAAGTAGACAGGACTTGTTTCTCATAGACTTCAAGAGTGACTAGATGTCCATGAACTACTAATGACTAAGGGTCCATATAAATAATACTGCGTGGTAGAGCACTTCGGACGTGGGATCAGTCCATAAAGGGTTTGACCGATGGTCTGATCCATGCAGAGAAACTAGGACTTTCATGGTGTGGTTCACGTGACAACTTAAACCAATGGTTAGATATTCTAGGTGATATGGATCATAATCAATCACAGTGGCATAGTAGTTTCCACATTTTATCTTCATCTAAATCATTATGACACACTTCATCATTGTTTTACACCCATCTTCTCTTTTTAAAACTTTCTGCCGTCATCCCTGTCGCCATTGTTTCGATCTGTGGTAAATGTATATGAACGACGTAACACTCAGACGAAATACGTTTAACGACAGAACAATGACCTCTCAATATGATACTCAGCCGACACCAGAAGAAGATGGCAATAGGATTAAAGGTATATTCACTTTAACAGATAAGAGCGATTACAGCTGAAAGTTCAGTCGTTCATATCTTTTTGAGAGCCTTGAATGCGAAAAACAAAGTATGTTAAGAGTGTAAAATGGACCAAACAGTATTTAGTGTCTTAAACCGTGGTGAAAATAAGTAACATGGCATGGAGCGAAGGCATGAAAATAAGGTCTGAATTTTACAATGGAAATACACATAAGTTAGGAATCAGATATCCCTAACACTATTCCCTATTTATTCCTCTTTCATCTTGCTCTGCTAGCAAGTGTAGCAGTTTGGACCGTACGAAGTAATGCCATAATCCACGTTAATACTGACTTGATCTTCGATAGAGAAAGGGGTCATTTAAAACTCACTAAGACTTACCTACAAACTACCAGACCCAATTCTCTGGTATCTTCAGTTAGACGATTGGGATCATCTGGATCACGAAGGAATTCAGTTGTACAGTCAATCACCATATTCTGTAAGTTATCACATCCTTTTAGAATTCCAACAGCTTCTCGTCCCCCGGAAAATTTAACACGAATTCGTTTATCGATATATTTATTTAAATCGATAATCGACTCTTTTTTATGCTTCTCAGGTTGCTGCTTATCTCCAATAGGCATTTGGCTAGAAATAGACAGATTTAAACAGGTTGAATAATTTGGAAATTTGAAATGCACTCATCAACCTTGTGCACATCAACGCACCATGGAATAAGCCACACCTATTGTGTGAGGGCTAATGATACCACCTGGTTGTCCAAACCTTGGTAGATGGAGCAGGGTTCAAACCCGTATCCCTAAGCCAATGAGCTTTAAGCTTTAAACTAAACTTCTCTAATTTGGAAGAATTTAGTAAATCCGACTTGTTTGACAACTGTCGAAAACAATAAATTTCCGGGGAATTTATTTGGATTACAGAGTACCTGCAAGAAAAGTGTTTAAAGACTCTTGCTATTGAATACTAAAAGTAATGATTCGTTCCTATAAGAACAGTATTAGTAGGAAAGGAAGACAAAGTAAATTTTCATGTTTCACAGTATACTTCAAAATTTGTTATTACAGGACACTAAGGGAAGTTCAGTTTTGTTGAGTTGATTAATAGTAGTGGGGTATAGTACACTACAACACATATAAGGATTTTCATTTGTGACGATAAAATCCTACTTCGAAAACGTCTTGAAGATGGGAGCTTTGATTAGGCTTCGCACCGAACACTACGCTACCAATGCATACACTTTATCTTCCTCAGTAAAATACTCATTATAAGTATCAAAACAATCAGGTCACAGTCTTGACTACCCATGAATTTCTTTCTTGTATAGTGATTATTTCGCTTCAGTTTACGATGTAGTCGACTTCCAATGGCACACACTTCGCTCATATTATCAAGCGACATACAACCTAATATACTCAGCTCAGTACTGTTAAATGAATCTTACATGAAATACTGGTGTTAATAACTAGGGTGACAAACAATAGTTTTTAAGCAAACTGCATTCCTGAAGAAAATGGGAACACGTGACTCAGGACAAATGTAAGCATGTTTATCCATACTACTTGAGTGCTCATCAGTAACCAATAGTAATTCATATCATTCTAAATTCAACCGGATGCCTGAGTAAAACAAACTGAAGTAAACAGACATGATTGTTGAACCGAATTCATTTTTTTACTTGTAGATAACAGAAAACACCTTTTTCGAAGAAACAACACGTGACAACATGACTTAATCATGTCTGAAAAGTCGATAAACATGTAAAGAGTAATGGAAAGATTTTAATTTACTACAGAAAAATAATTTTTTCTTGAGTCGACACTAGTGTATACTAAAACTAACCACAGATACTGGCTCAAAGTCAACTACAATACTTGACAAGCTCCTGTAAAAAGAAAATCAGACCAAATTTCCACTAATATTCGAAAATTAATAATCTCCTTTGATGATCTACATTAGTTAATTGATCGGGAGTTATCTGTGAAACACTGGTAAAGATGAAAGTAAAACTTTGAGTTCAAAACAAAAAGATAGTTGAATTATATTTCAGTACATACTAAATTTACTGATAACCATCCTTAGGTAACAACTATCTTGTTAATATCCACATTATCAACTCGTCATTAATGCTAATAAATTGCTGACTGGAGATACTATATAACCACTAATTTCCATGGATAATTTAGCATTCAGGTTCTATTTTAAGCGATAACGGGGTCCCCAAGAGTCTATCAATACTTCTCTGAATGAAATTCCCTTCCACATTACAAATTCAATTCTTTTTCAGTATCTTGATAATTAAAATATGTTGAATTATTCAAAATAAAGTTAAGTATTTACACTTAACTTTATTTTGTTATTCAAAAGTCATGAGAATATCAACCACTTTGCAGTGGATAAAGTTGGATTTTACCTTCATATTAGCAACGTTTATCAACAAACCGCTGTTATGTCAGGATCCATGTTTTCAGTTTGACTATATAAGAGTTAGAAACAGTCAACCGGCAAGTTATCATTAATTTAGCTGACTAAATAACTTCTGGTAGACTGAAAAAATCAGTCGACAACTGAACGTTTTACTAGTTTTAGTGTAGGGAATATGAAAAAAACATTCTGATCAGGGACTGCAGGTTATCAGTTTGGTGTTAAAGAGAGATAGACAGAATCAACACAGAACCTTGTAAAGAAGTAAATCGGTTTAAGTTGTCAGACTTCAAAGCAGCATCCAAAGAACAAATAGGAAGAAAAAGATTGATAGCAATTTAAACTAATATGTATTGAAGAAAAAGGAATTTGAAAATCGGAGTTAGTGAAAATGTTCAAAATTTAGGTGTCGAAGAGTGAATACATCTGCACCATCGTGACTGGTTTTCAGCCATGTCACCAAAGATCTGCACCCATTGATCCCTATCGTCTTGAGGAACGACCCAGCCAGACAGTCAACACCTCTCAGCATGGCTCAGAGACTTCACTAACTGGTGCGAAGTCTTGGTTTGGTCATCTTTGCCCTTCCCTCAATCCTAATTCGACTAACATGGCACGTAAAGGTAGTGGTGGCTCAGCACGCGCAACACAATTGTTGGAGATTCACAACCTGATCCAACGACTACCTTTCCTTGTCTACCTACGCTTAACATCTCCATTGCTCATACGGTGGTTCCACCATACGCAAGCAATGCTAAGAAGACACTTGTGATCAAAATAACTTGTATTCTCTTCGCAAATTCTACTTTCAGATGCCATGTTTCACTGCTATAAAACAAAGCGAACTAAGGGTGCAGTATAGTCATTCTTTAATAGGTAATAAGATGCCTCGTCGATGCTGTAAGTTAGCAAATGCCAATGTATTCCAGCTGAAACTTCATCAGTAACGAACCCATTCGGTGTGATATATATGTATATATTAGTAAGTACATTGTGTGAAAGCTAGCAATACTACACGATTGCTCAGACCTTGGTAGGCAGAGCAGGATTCGAACGCGTGATCCACGATTGGTCGGGAATTGAGTGTCTAGCCTAGTGAGTTATATTTCTACAGGAAAAAAATCTAGATTATACGGTTAGCAAAAACAACAGCATTCTGAATTCCAAGAACTTAGTCATACACAAATCAAAAAAACGCACATGTAAAACAGAAATAAAAGTTTGTTTTAGTATTTTTATTATTTTAATCGAAAACAAATGCGAAATACATAAATAATTGAGGGATAGTACAGAGATGGTCATTTTTCCCAAACAATAAAATAATACACGATGAAACCCATCACACAATTATTATTATTATTATTATCGCATTTAACTTGATATGCAAACACTTCATTTTTTTTCCAAACAGGGGAGAAACATCTTTGAAAGAGTAACACACAAACAAGATAACAACCAATAAGTAATACTGGGCACATTAGGTTAGTTAGTACAACTCCCCTAAGAAGAAATGTTTGTCTGGAACATTATAAGTAAATATTATATACTGAAAGGAATTGTAGTCGTATAATTTTACAAGCTAGACCAAACAATTGCCTTTTTAATCCGTTCACATGAAACTAGAGAATTACCATTTGGATTCCAATGACAACAAACGACAATATTTCTGCAATAGTGAAAAATACATTTTATGAGAAAACAACAAAAATACGAGCTTAATACAACATGTGATAACAATATTAATGTATTTCCAAAAGACCGAAGAGAGCAGAAAACTCAAGCAGTATGATTGCATCAATGTAAGGTGATACTCAGTGCACATTCTATCTCAGTAATATTTTTTCGTAACACGAAAGAAATGTATATTAATTAATGTGACAGATTAGAAATACTATAGATATATACAAAGTGGCGGCTGTTTCAAAAAGTCATCTGTTGTTCAGAATACAGTTAATTCACTAAGAAGTGCCAACATAACCAAATCCTATCTTAATAAGGTTGATATCTAATAATAATGCGCAGATGTAACTATCATTTATTTATTTATTTATAAAAGTGATAAAGATGAGAAGCATATTCCCTGCATATAAATGATCGATACTGGCTTGAAGTGGAATCTAAGATGAGTGTTCCGTCCTGTTTGAGACTCATCAGCCAGATGAACCTGAATCCCAGTGAGTGGTGGTGTCCCCACAGAGGCTCGAAACCAGTACCCATTGCTCAGAATGCCGCAAAGTTATCTACCAGGCTAATGAGTTAAGATAGGCACTCCTTATGCGACGAACATAGTTTTGTATTAGGATTTGTTATTTTCCATTGTTTATTGGTGTGGGTCGAACTGATCAGCCTTTGCTGTTACATAGGGTCCTATGTGGATGTAAGGTGATTTATTTGCAAACGATTTACAAATTGCACAGTTCAAGCTGAAATTTTTCAGAGCTGTAAGAAGTTTCTCAACTGCCTAACTGCGGTGTCAATAAGGTTTCAGCTGGAAACTACCACCCACCAGCCAAGATCACAAGGCGTGATTTCTGACAAGTGTTATTAACTAGCGAAATATACTACTACTGAACAACTTGTGTAGTAAGAAACCACTCACGCTAATCTGTAGATTTCACTAGTTAGATCAGAGTGATCTAAACACCGGACGGTCGTTCCGTTCGCTTAGATCACCTTGATCTCGCTGGTGAAACTTACAGATCAGCCTGAGTGGTTTCTTACTACTCAAGTTGTTCAGTAGTATATCTCCAATGAGGAAGTGTCGATATAACCCAAACAATCAACAACGGGGAATAAAAAGTCCTAATATTTTCCCCGAATATCATCTGTTTTCTGTCAATTGTTCACTTGTTCTATATCTTTTAATTTTAAAAAAATTGAGTGGTGGATTTAATTTGACCGATTGTTCTCAGCTAAAATATTCTTAATCTGCCTTAGTCCCATGATGGGTGGTCCATAATAAGTAGGTAAAAATACCGTATGGATTATCCCATGGCTTAATGCTCAACATATCGATCCAATGCTGTGAAATAGTAAACCCACTGGACACGTAAAAACTATTCACGGTTTCGCTTTCTATGAGGTATGATATTCAGTTGTGGAGATTTTATCCCTAGACTTCTTCAGAAAGCTAGCGTTGATGATTTCATCAAGTCTGGTGATGAGGCGTTCACAACCAAGCATTAGTTTAGCGAAAATAAAATCAACATCATCTCTATCCTGATTTACAAGTTATATAGATAAGATTTTCTTCATTTTCACGATATATACGTTCTCACGATACTTATTTTTGCTCAACGATGCTAGCATTGTTCACTGACAACCAGTCCTCAAACGAAATCTAGCTCCATTGAGGTTGCTTTCTATTTACAATAGGGAACAATGATCGCATGGATATCTATAGAAGAACAGTAGCCAAGGTTATATGTGCGAATTCCATTAGTATATTTCCGAGATCAATTTGGATTTTAATGGAAGATTAAATTGAATTTACCTTCTGTATTATTGCATAAAAATTTGGGTTTGTGGTTTTTACAACGACTTTATATTTGACGGAGGTTGAATTCAGGTTTTTGTAGGAATAGTTACACCAAGCGTGGCACTAGAAAGGTTGGTTGGTGTTGAAAAATACCCAAACTGGTTTTTCTCTCTGATCAACAGTGCTCATGTACCGAACGGAAACGAAATATTCTAGATAAGCTATCACAAATCAACGAGTTTTTAAATGAAGTGAAAAGTCATCCTTTACACAAAGCTGGAGCTATAAACATAACATTGTCCAGTAAGCGCTCGATTGCTTGCAGTTGAAATCCACTCAACAACTCCATGCATTTTCGTGCAGTAGGCGATGACCCATGTATGTTCTGTGAGAACTAATGGCTGCGAGGTTCAAACCCATGACCCACTGGTCGAAAGTCGAGTGCCAAGATGAATGGGTCACGGATTCACAAACTCGATTGGAGTATCAATTAAAAGCAAAAGAAACATAGAAAACCCTAGATATATTAAGTAGTCTATTGCACTGTGGAATATGATTGCCATAATCTTCATAAAAAGGCCTAGATCACTGAAACTTTCTACGACTAATCATGTTACACCGAGGTTTCGAGAGAAAGCACATGATTCAACGTGTAAATATCAGATTCGTTGAAGGGATGAAAATAAATAGGACAAACAAAGGCATGAAAATAGTCGAGGCTACTGTAAATATGTATCAACCCTTGTATTTTGTATATATTTTTGACCTTACAAAACACATTCTGTTATATTGTAAGAAACGACAAGACTGAGACAGAATGTTTATTATGACATCTCGTACAGTACTCATGAAAATTGTACACCTACCATTAAAATAGTCATTTGCATAATGTTTCATTTCTTCTTCTGCTTCTATCTCGACTTGCTCTTAATGCGTTCACACTCTCCTGCATTTCTCTGAGCAGAATAATTAACCATCGCTAGTAATTACACATGACTTCTGCCGACCTTCGACCGATAGCTGCTACCTTGACGTGGTGGTCGGGCTGGCATACTACAGTGACCCAACGCGATATGCTGGTGAAAAAATTCTTCCCTGGAGGTCCTATTATACCAGAAAGGTCTGTTGGATAGTAGTTGGACGTCAAAGCAGCCACCGTTGTGGTGTAAATTACTACACTATGATGAGAGTCTCAGGGCGAAGTCATACTGGATGGGGTGTGACAGCAGTAAGGTGTTTTCTTTGGATGACCAGCAGTGCCATGCTTATGCTGCTTTCTCAATGGAAGGGGGCAGGGGTTAGAAAAGGTTGGTCCCAAAAATAACACACTCCACCATGCCCTACGGTCTGCCGGGCCGGCGGTGTTGGTTCATTTGTCGTTTCTTTTCGACCATCCGGCCCCAAAAATACAAAAGTCCAAAACAACCATACACGAAAGACTGGGTGTGACAGGCCTCAAACAGATGTCCGATGGGCTCTATGGTCACACAAATCTCTTTCAGGTACCTTGAATAGAAATAGCCTTCCATGGTATGGGCAGCTGGGAAGTGTCAACCGCCCTCACAACTCTATCAGCACTCAAGTTCCTATCCATCCTCCATCTTTACCTTATAATATTCCTTCACGTCCCTCAATTATCGACACTATATCATCTCCGATTTCTTCTAGCTCTGCAGCCTTCGACAACGATCCGAGTCCATAAAACAGCATCCTTGGTCTCCTTAAACCACGCTCCAAATTACATATTGGAGCCTTCAATGTCCGCACCCTCCGACAAATTGGTCAACAGGCTTCGTTGGCAAAAACTCTAGCAACTCGGGGCATGGATGTGTGCTGTGTTTGTGAGACACGTATACAGGACCCAAGTGCGGTTGTTCACCTGGCGTCTCCCGGACAAACTGGTGAGTCCGCGAAATGCACTCTTCGAGTTTCTGGAGATTCGTTAGCTCGCTGACGACTGACTGTAGTTCGGATGAAGTGAAGGACGAGTTCTACCATAAACTGTCTAGCCTCCTCTTGAAAGCCAAACGTTCAGATGTGGTGGCTGTTGCAGGTGATTTCAATACACAGGTGGGTAGACTGAGTAAGGCAGAAAGGCACTTAGGTGGCACTTTTGGAATCCTGGCTAAACGTACAGATAACAGTGACCACCTACTATAACTATGCTTATATTAGCTAGCACAAATTTAAGACATAAAGAAAGACACTGTCTGACGTGGCGTCCACCGAGCCCAACTCAGCGATGGACACAGATAGACCACATTGCCATCAGTCATTGGTGGAAGACCGTCGCTCCTTCCGGAGTACGTGTTTGGATAGCGACCACGCGTTGGTCCGAGCGCGTATATGCCTGCGTCTCAATGGACGTGGGAAACATTTGGCAACAAAACCACTACGAGTGCTGCTGAACAACGAAAACACCAAAGCTGTGTTCAGTGAGAAAGTGACTAGGCAGTTATCAGGTCAGAACACTATCATTCATCCAAAAGAAGCTTGGTGACACCTCCAGTCTGCCGTAAAAGCAGCGCTGAAGACCGTAGCCGATTCAGAAAGAGTGGCTAAGAAGAGCCAGTGGATTTCAGAAGGCTCTGAGTACAATAAGGAGCGAGTGCAACTTAAAAGTAGGTTGAGAAAAAGTCTATGCAACGACCACGAACAGTGGTGAGCAGCGAAGGCTAAAGAGATGGAAAAGGCAGTGGCGATTGGCAACAGTAGACAGTTATTTAGACTTATTAAGGAAACTGGGGGGAAGGTCAACAACGGTTAGTGAGGCTAAAGTAGAGAAGGACGGGTCTGCGACTCACTCTCAGAGTGGGCGACTGGAGCGATGGGCAGAACACTTTGAGGGACAGTCTAGCTGGCTTCAAGCCACCATTGCGTTACTCGCTATTCAGTCGGATCCTGAATGGAACATTGAGATATGCCCCCCAACACTTGCAGAAGTCGAGAAAGCTGTAGGTAACCTGTAACGAGGAAGGGCAGCAGGACCAGACGAACTAACTCCTGAGGTATACAAGGATGGTGGTAAGGTGCTCTTAGTCAGGTTAACGGTAGTGTTAACTAGCACATGGGAATCAAATACGATCCTCTCTGACTGGTCTAAATCACTGACTATTCCAGTCTTCAAGAAAGGCAAGAAGTCCTCTTGTGATAACCACAGAGGAATCAGCCTGACGAACATGGTGTCCAAGATCCTAGGTTCTATAATTCTCCGACGTCTGAGTGAAGCTCCGGAACAGCAAGCCCAAGAAAACCCGGCAGGATTTAGACCTGGCCGCGGGTGTGTCGGCCAAGTATTCACACTGGGCCAGGTTCTGGAACACAGGCACGCTTACAGACGCCCAACAATAGCTGCATTTTTCGACCTGAAGGCAGTATTCGACTCCATTGATCGAGAAGTCTTACGGCAATGTCTCTCACTGAAAGGCGTGCCGAGTAAGTACATCACCTTAATGAAGGCTCTCTACTCGAACACTTGTGGGCATGTTAGAGCCTATGGTGAGATGTCCAAGGAGCTATGCTCATCAAGTGGTGTCCGTCAAGGGTGCCCACTCTCTCCATTCTTATTCAATTTTATCATAGATATCCTCATGGAGGTCTCCCTCTCGTTACCTGATTGCACAGACGTTGACCTAATCGGTGGAGAATTTTCATTAGACCTAGAATATGCAGATGACATAGTCCTGTTAGGTGAAGACATTGACAAGATGCAGAGTCTTCTGAACACTGAGTAGCAATTTGAGAATGTTTCGGATGGGTTTCTTACCATCGAAATGCAAATTGTTGCTCCAGGACTGGTCTTCAACAGTGCCATGGCTAAAAATAGAGTGTAGTGACTGAGTTCGTCGACCACTTCACTTACCTAGGAAGTAAGATCAGCCCTGGTGGCTCAGTTGCCGATGAAATCTCTGCACGAATACAAAAGGCTCAGTTGGCTTTTGCCAATTTATGCCACTTACGGCGCCGCCGTGATATCCGATTGTCTATTAAGGGTCGCGTATACTGCACAGCAGTCAGGTCTGTTCTACTGTATGGCTGTGAAACATGGCCATTCAAGGTGGAAGACATGAGAAGGCTTCAGGTGTTTGACTACCGTTGCCTTCGTAGTATAGGACGTATTCCGTGGTGTCACCATGTGAGTAATGCAGAAGTTAGGTGTAGAGTTTTAGGGAGAAGAGGTAAGTCAGTCGACGAGGTTGTGAACCTTCATCGACTGAGATGGTTGGGACACGTATTACGTATGCCCAGTCACCGGTCGCCTCGTCACACAATATCGGCCAAAGTAGGTTCAGGCTGGAGAACGGCCCGAGGTGACCAGACTACAACATGGCGCCAATGTATGAAGTCTCTGACTGTTGGCTTGAACCATGTAGGGCGATGCAGACTAGCCGATTGGGGTCGGCGGGACAAGAGGAACCAGTGGTTGGAGACTCTAGGTGATATGGCTCAGAATCGATGTCAGTGGCGCAGACGTATACATACATTATCTTCATCTTAACGACGCTATACCGAATCTCACCATTCTCTCATTCTTCCTTTCCCTCTTTTAGCACTTCATATTTCTTTTGACTGAATTTTCTCATCTTCATCTTGAACCACCTCACTGCCTTTTTACTTGATGTAGTGATATGAGGTGTGGCAACTTGGACCGTTACACAGTAATGCCTGGTCCTATGTTGATATTGATGATTGATGACGATGATCTGCCGACCTTTCAACACATATTACTGATATCCATTCTTATCAGTAGCACTCACTACAATACAACCAAGATCATCCACGTGGGCTACAAATATTCCCTACTATAACACCTTTTCTATTTACTGAGAAAGTGAGCGACTATCGAGGAAAGGAATCTTAAGGTTGTTGTCCAGACCTCCAGATATACATACCTAAGGTTACATCAAGTAGTTACGACAAGGACATAACAAATGGCAACTGGGGTTATAAAGCAGTCTTTCCCGAAAGCTAGGACAAAGAACGTGGAACTAATAAGGACCGTCAACAAGTACGAATCGCCACACAGTAAAATCAAGTACTGACTAATACTTTACACAGTAGTAGTATGAAGGTGAAACGTTAACTTATTTTGGTTAATTTTTCTGAACAAATCCATGCATAATTTATGAGAAAAAAACTCACGTGTGTTCTCGGAGGCATGTTTCTAAATTGCCTGAAGTTGTGCTCCAAATGTATATTCCACCATCATGTCCACCTGCAGCTACATAATCTGAGTCCGGTGAGAAACATGGTCGGACAATATCCAAACCCGCCTGGAAGCCATCTGCCTTTAAACATTGTGTTACTAGATTCATACGTAAATTCACTATTTCTAAGGTATTGTTACGAGTACAAGCCAAAACAGTTGTGAAATCTAAATAATAAAAAAAGAAAGAGAAATAATTGAACACGAGTGAAATAAATCAAATGGATTTTTCATTAGTCAATTGGAAAACAAGAAAATGCATTAAATCGAACAACGCAAAAACATCTACTCTATTACATCGAAACATACAAATCAGCTTTCTGTTAGATATACACAATTAATCATATTCCATTTTCTTCGATGTGTATGCAAACTATGCACTCCATTTTTTATTCGCCATCCGACAATTTTGAGATATTACTGATAAACTCAGATCTAATAAAAGTAATATTACTGTCAGTTTGTCTTACTTAACTGCCAATGAGTATATGGCTGGCATTTCAGTGAAATACTTTGAAGAAAATTAAACTGGTAAAATCAATCAGACTTTCCTTAATTTCTTATGTACATCATCATCATCATCATTATCAACATAGGACCAGGCATTACTGCGTAACGGTCCGAGTTGCCACACCTCATATCAGCACATCAAGTAAAAAGGTAGTGAGGTGAAGGATGAAGATAAGTGAATGCAGTCAAAAGAAATATAAAGTACGAGAAGAAAGGAAAGAGGAGTCACAAAATAGTGAGATTCGGTATAGCGTTGTTAAGATGAGGATAATGTGTGTATACATCTGCGCCACTGACTTCGGTTCTGAGCCATATCACCTAGGGTCTCCAACCACTGGTTCCTCTTGTCCCGCCGACCCCAACCACCTAGTCTGCATCGTCCTACATGGCTTAAACCAACAGTCAGAGACTTCATACATTGGTGCCATGTTTTAGTCTGGCCACCTCGGGCCTTTTTCCAGCCTGAACCCACCTCAGCCAACATTGTGTGACGAGGCAATCGGTGACTAGGCATACGTAGTACGTGTCCCAACCATCTCAGTCGATGAAGGTTCACAACCTCGTCGACTGACTTACCTCTTCTCCCTAAAACTCTACACCTAACTTCTGCATTACTCACATGGTGACACCACGGAATACGTCCTATACTACGAAGGCAACGGTGGTCAAATACCTGTAACCTTCTCATGTCTTCCACTTTCAATGGCCATGTTTCTTATGTACACATACACATGTTCCCCACTTCAGAAAATATACCACTTTTGTCGGTTGAGCATGATAATTAGTATAGCAGTTACATAAGTTAGAAAGCCAGCAACCATATTCCGTCTACTGCTTGATATTGGATAACCAAACAACAGCGAGAGGTTGGTTTAGCTATCTATGAAGATGTTAGACATCCCATCTGACACATAATTTACACTTAGAGTTCAGCAAACTCTTGATATATTTGTACCCATTTGATAATTTGTAATGCTTAATAACTGATTTGCATCACTGATGACTTCAAGTATTTGAAACTCATTCGACCGAAAATTGATAGAGTAACCACAATGTTTCGACAAACTAAAGTGATTATCTAATTAGAAACCACTGCACAGCTTCACAATGTAAACAAAACCATAAAAGGCTCTTAGAACCTTATCAAATATCAGACCGATGAGAATGGTGCGATCTACAGCGTAATTTACATACTTCAAGGCAAAACAAGAGGTTGTAATTATCTGAACCATCATCAGTCATCATCATTATGAGAATAAAATCATCACTTACCTGAGGAGATATCCATACCAGTAATACGTCCGGAGAGCAAAATCTTGCCGGTATTTTCTCCAGTTCGTTCGTCCCAAATACGTAAGTGCTGATCAAAGTGACCAGTGATAAGAGCGGACATAGAAGGACAAACAACTACATCTTGAAATGTGGAGGCAGCCATGATGGTGCGCTTGCAACAGCACTTGTCAACATCCCAGAGCTGTGACCGCACAAAAGATAAGCATAAGTGTTTCTATCTATGGAAGCTAAGAATTCGACTGTTTAACACCATAAAATACGATAGTATTCTTACAATCTTGAAAACCATACTGAAGAGTCAAAATAAGATTTTATACAAAAAAAACATTGGTCTTGAAAACAGAAGTTGTATCGATACTACTGGTAAGAGATTAACTTTTATGCCCAATATGTGTAAAAATGAAGTTCGGACCTACATACAGTTCTTATTTTATTGTAAATGCCTCCTGAAATATAGTTTAGGTAGTTTACGTTGTATGTCCAGTTATTTCGGGGATTCCCATAAGAGGAATAAGGCATACATCAGCAGCTCTACAGTTGCGCTGAAAATGTACACCAACTTGCATCATGATACTCAGAAAAAGATTTTGAATAAATTTATAATTGTGGATGGATTTTTCGAAGGACTACTTTAGTTAATCGACTGCATCGACTAAAATAACCGCAGCCATGACAGAAAATTTAATTCATGATAACTTAATCTACTACATTCAACTACTGAGTTTCACTATGCAATAATACAATTATGAATGTTGAACTGTCCTGAAGTTATTGTGCACAGATGCATGGCACAAGTCAGTCGCCAATTTGTTGCAAAGAGACGCGAAAAGAAAGACCGGGAACCAGGACAGTAGGTACTAAAGCTTATTTTACATTCAGTTTAGTCTGCAACTTGTCGTGTGATTTCAAAACTAAATATGAAAGGTATTCGTCAGTAAGGCGTATAGATGTAATCATGTGACAGTGTGAAAGTATATGCAGTTACAAGTTAAATCAGGTGATCTACAAGAAAGTGCAATAAAGCATACCATTTAAAAAGAATCCAGACTGTTTCTAGCTATACTTCATAGCATATATTCACTTAGTAATCGAAGTTGTACAAAACAACGCGAAAATAGAACCTTATTGGACAGAAATCAAGAAATTAAACAAATTAAATGAACAAAAGAAAGCGTTCCACAATACCTACATGGTTATACACTGCCAAGTTCCGTCTGTTGATTTCTCTTCAGTGTGTTGAAGTGAAGTGTATGGAGTTCTAACAAACCATAGTTGTGACAGGTTGTACTTTGTTGGTATCTACTTTTCCCATTTAAAGGAATCTACATTTAAGTGTTGAACATCATCCCTATAAAAAGTAGCACCGTTTCTAGAAAAACATGATTTTATTTACAGTTAAGGATTATTCATTAGTGTTTCACTCGATCCCTTAATCTGGCACATGTTCATGTACTAAGCTATGAGAAAAATTCGTTGTTTGACGGCATATGGTACTACGAGGTCATCGAAACCGAAATAGGCGGAGTGGAGCTCGAACCCAAGGACTGTTGTTTGAAAACTGACTCAGTTCAAACACGGGGACGATAAGCATTTAGTAATTTCACTGAACCCGTTGCTCGGAAAGTAATGGGGTAGTGCACCAAACAAAAACCTCACTAGTTATCTACATAAATTACATCTACAGTAGCTTTAAAGAAATCATCTTGTATTAGTTGACAATGGTATGATATATAGTGGGATGCAACCCAGTATAGTACAGGTATATGTCCCAGGCTAGTGGTCGCAATCGATATGTAAGGGTTTGCGAAGTGGATCAAAGTGGAATTTTTACCTAAGGTTTATTGATAACAGTAAATGTTTTAATATGCAGTTCAACCTGCTCGGATTAAGAATTCTAGGTGTTACAGTGAAATGAAGTGTAGAGTAAAGCTAAAAGACTGGTTAGCAAAATATATTACGGCAAAGGAAAATAAAGTAGGAAATGAATTACTTTGATAGTCCTATCCGATGAAGCAGTAACGACACGGTTGGCTGAACCCATGAACTTTGCTGAAATAACACGTTCAGAATGACCTGTTAAGTTGACTCGAAGCCTTGAATCATTCAATGTCCATACACGACATGAAAAATCACTAGATGCACCCAAAACGGCAGTTTCCTAAGAAAAATAAAGAGGCTAATCAGGGATGGAACCCGTTTAAGTATTTTAATCAAGGTAAACATAGTACTTTGACGATTAAATACTTGTTCCAACATCATGACAACTTGGGTTCTGCAAACACTATCTAAAAGTGGTCATATTAAAATTTGAAACTTTAAATACTTAGGCAGTTGATAACACAAGCTGAGTACCGTGGAATATCCCTTCATCGCACTACACCTTTGAAAACAACAAAAGGGTATAACTAACTGCAAAATATCCATATGTAGGGCTCAGTAATGGACTAGAAAACATATAACAAAAATGAAACAGTCGGATAGTGGGAATCGTCTTCTGCAGGTTTGCGCAGACCACAACTTATTTCTAACCTGCACCAACTTCCAGCCCAGCCATCGCCGTTGTGCTACTTAACGTTCTTCCGCTGTCACTCAAGCATGGACTCAAACAGATGATATTTCAATCTGAAACAATTAGTCGCTTTAATAAATTTCGATAACGCTATTAGAAGACGAAGATTATCTGAAAAATGTGATGTATTTGCGCAAAACATATTGCAATCATCTATCGATGGCGTGAGTGTATACAGGACTACCACTCTATATGGAGTACTTGTATAGACTATGATAATGCTTTAGTATGTGTCAGGCTCATCTTGAGTTTTGGTAGTCATCGAAATCGTCGTCCTAAACAAGTCGATGCAAGCATATTAGTTGGATTTACCGATCCCAGCTAGATTTAAGGCTGGCTACAGATTCTCCAGAAAAGGTAGACGAGTAATGGCTGCGTTTACAAGACTCCATGAGTGGTGAGTAAAGCCGCTTGGGGCTTGGAGAGACGTCTCTCTAATAAACACTAGGTCTCTGCGAGCTCCCTGCAATTTCTTGATACCCATCGGACCATTCCGGCAGATAGCGAGTACAGTGGTTTGCGTAAGTCTTTTATACGAAAGATTACACAATGCTTGGTGGTCAGAACGCACGAGTGAGATGAAAGCAGCAGCTGCCTCCGGTAATAGTTGAAAGCTGTTCCAGCTCATCGGAGCCACTGACAGCAATAAGTCTGATGTCTGTGAGGTAGATGGCACGCCAACAAACAACCTTCGAAGACGCATGGAACGCTGGGTAGAGCACTTCAAAAAGCAGCGTAACTGTCGCACGGCTCCAGCATTATCAGCTCCAGTGTATCGTGCTCTTTGGTCACTTAACACTGACCCACCTAACGAAGTGAAGATCCATAAAGAACTCCAAGTTTTGAAACGCCACAAAGCACTCAGTCGAGACAACTTACCCGTGGCTCTTTTTAAGGATGGAGGAACGACTCTAGTCAGGGAACTGACTAGATTGCTTGAGAAAGTATGGCAGACTGAGCGTTCCACCACTCTGGAACGAAACCACTGTTGTACCCATCTTTAAAAACGGTCTGAGTAATGTATGTCAACTATCAAGGTATCAGTCTGTTACCATTAGCGTCCAAAATATTGGCTGCTATCATTCTTCATAGAATTTGCAAAACATGTGAAAAAATGATTCACGAAGAGCAGACGGGGTTTCGTTCAGGTCTTGGATGCAATGATCATGTTTACCCTCCAGCAGATGCTTGAACACTCTCAGACGTATTAAAGGCCAACAATCGCTGGGTTTCTTGGCATTAGGGCTGCCTTTGATTCGTTAGACAGGGCTGTACTCTGGAACTCTGTTGGAGAGGGGGGTGCCTACGAAATTTATTAACATCCTGAAAGCCCTATATAGTAACACCTCAGGTAGAATGAGGGCATACAACCGCTTGTTTCTATTGTTCCGAACCAGCAGTGAAGTTAGGCAGGGTTGCCCGATTTCTCCGGTCCTCTTTAATTCTGCCATCGATGACATTCTTGAGACAGCTCTGAAGGAGATACGTGATGGTGGTGTAGATCTACTACCCGGAGAACGGTCATTCGTCCCTAAATATGCGAACGATATTGTGTTACTGTGCGATAACATAATGGCTACTCAAGTCAGTTAGTCCGTTGACGATTAGTGTCCGTAAGTATGGTATGTGCTTCCCACCACTGTAGTGCAAAGTACTTTCGCAAGATTGGCAGGAACCTGTGTCTGTGCTCACCTTCGGTGGTGAGCCGCTGGAAGTAGTCGAGGATTTCATGTATCTGGGTAGTTGCGTGGGTGCTGGTGCGGGTGTTTGGCGAAATTTCTAACCACACGTCGAAAACAGAGTGGCATTAGTCAATTTGGGCCACTTTTGGTGCCATAGCGATGTTAGTCTGACCGTAAAAAGGTCAGGTTTACAAAGCTCTGGTGAGAGCAATTCTGCTCTACGCCTGTAAACCTGCCGCCTCCGAGCTGAGGATGTGCGACGGCTATGTGTACGGTCATCGTTGTCTCCATAGGATCGCTCGTATCCGGTAGCAACACCCTGCAAGTAACAGGTATGACAGCGTGTTTGAGCATGATGGGGACCGTCATTTAGCAAGTGAAGTCAACTGGAAACACCGGTTTCGGTAGCTTGGACATGTTTTACACATATCGTCCCAACGGCTGCCATACCGTTCATTGTTTGCCAGACGAGACTGGATAGAAGCGGAAGGGTGGTCAATGTATGACGTGGCGCCGCGGGACCAAAGACAGCTGCATACGGTTAGCATCTATTGGTGTATCACGATTCCCTGGATAGTATCTGATGGACCACTCAACTCAATGGCTCGAGACATTATTAGATGCGGCTCAGAATAAAAACCACTGGCGATCATGCAGCTTCCTCTTATTTGTTGCTGAAAAGTAACGGGTGTTTTGTATCGAATGTACCTTACTGGATAGCCCGTCTAACTGTTATTCTTACTTATCGACTTCTCATCTTTTGTGTCTTCACAATGTTGTTATACTATTGTGTTGCGCATTTCTTGGTGCCCTTGGTGTACCATGTTTGTGTCTAATAATAATAATAATAATAATAATAATAATAATAATAATAATAATAATAATAATAATAATAATAATAATAATAATGATAATAATAGTAATAGTAATAATAATAATAACAAAATAATGGTTGAAACATGTCTAATTCAGTGAACCACAGCTAGGTGGGAAACCATTCACTCGCTAATTTAGAGCCATACTCAATAAACAGTGACACCTAATTTGAACGACAGAAGCAATAATAAGACAACACTGACTACTGAACTGGCAAAATTATAAGATTTCAGTGTCCTTATGATGGTTAATCAAAAGCGAGTCAATTGATTGCTGACTGTTGGTGAGCAAAAAACCCCTTGTTTCTCTCGCAATAAGTAAAATAATGCAGTCTGTTTGGATTCAAAGTTTCTGGGGTTAAAGTGGAAATCCGTTTAACAGTGTAGCGGTTACTGTCATGGTTTAAGAACCAAATTCTAAGAACTAATTTTAGATATAAGCGTCTGTAAATTAGGTTAAAAGTATTCATGTTTAGCTTGCAACGTATGAAATTATCATACAAAAAGTAATCTGAGTGAGTCCTTATTTCAACGTCAACTAGAAGCCCAACACTAAAATTTTAAGCGCGAAACATATCACTCAATTGCATTATTTATGTATATGAACCAGGTATCAAAATAACCTTCCGTGTAGGTATAATTTAGTGGCTGTTACCCGCTATAGCAAAAATACAGAACAGACATCGAGAAAAACCAACTCACGTTTGCATCAAAATCTATGGCAGTGACGGCAGCATTGCAACCGAGGAGCGTTGAATGAACTTCACACTTGCCTAATTTTTTTTAAAGATAAAAATACCCACAAATAAATGAGGACGGGTATACTATACTATACATATGGTTAGAGTTATGCTGGATAAAGACAAAAAAATGATGGTAATCGGGATGATTTAACTAGACATTAACTCATGATGACTATATAAGGACATGAGAAATTTAAAGAGCTGAAACACTGATACATCGAAGTTATTTAAAATCATTGTAAAAAGAAGTATACCATTGATGTAGGTCCATAATCGTAGTTTACGATCAAAGCCTGCTGATCCAAATATATGACCTGATGGGGTGAAACGGACGCTGTTTACTTCGCCTTCATTAGCATCCTGTAAGTTCGAATGTTAAGTAAAATAAAAATCGTACTATTTTGACAGCAACACTATGAGGAAGTGCAGACTTGCACGGTAATGGTTTGTCAGCAGGATCACTAAAAGCCTATAAATATATAAAATAACTAAACCTATCAGCGACGAAAATAGTTGAGTTGGCTGCATCTTGAAGATTTTTGCGAATGGTTTCCTGAGTTTTTCTCAGAAACGTTTAACAATTAATATGTGCTTACCTGTAGTGCACATCATACTCAATATTCTTTAGCCTTTCGACAGTATTTTGGAGAGTCTTAATTCTCTTGATTAGTTGAACATTATCATCTTCAAGCTGTCTGTTTCTTGTTTCTAGAGCTTTAATGGCCAGCAAATGAGAGGCTTGCTCATCTGTAAGCAACTGAGAATGCAAGTTGCATTACACCAAAACAACAGACTTCTTTAACTTCTTCAAGTTCTTTAACACTTTCTAACAGCTGACGGTTTTGTCTCTGGCTAACCTTCAGGCAATCGTCTAACTCTGAGATCCTTAACTAATTACCGAGGATATTATAAGACTAACTTCCCGGATTTAGATTGCAGTAAACTATCCTTCTCCTGCAGGACTTTGTTGAGTTCGATGACGTTTTGAGCGAGCTAATAACAGTATTAACAGATGATTGAACTTACGCTCCCTTTTTGTCTATGCAACTCAGTGACCTCTTCTTGCAAATGAAACATCTTTTGTTCATAGTCATATGACTTGACAGACTTGCTAAAAACTACCGCTATGAAGTGCAAACTAACGTTTTTTCATATTCTAACCGCAGACTGGTCTTTCCTGTTGGCAAATTGTCAATTCGCGAACAAGACGAGCATTTTCTGCTTTGAGGTGCAGTACAAGATCCTTATTCATATTGCCTGAAAATGTAGAATGAACCAAGTAGGAGCAAACATTGTGTGAATATGTCATTGAAAAACGATTTTTCAACAATATCCCGCTCAACCAAAGCAGAAACAATGGCAGCCTTCCATAATTCAGTTTCTTTTTCCATGTACAGAACCTTAAGGTCACAAACCCAATTTGGACGCCGTTGTTCGATGTCTAATCGAGTCCAGTCTCTGTTTCACGAGCTTTTATGAACCGTTTGATATTGCCGCAGCCCCTTTCAGTTTCGCAGAATGGTCTTGTGATTTTACGGATTCCCATGCAGCAGATCCAACCACAAACATGCTGTCATCCAATATTCAATATTGATGGTGCGAGCGTAGGAAACTGATAGTTTTTTATCCCTCCTGTTTGGTTCTTATGGCTTGGTTCAAGTCCCTGAGTTCACTGCTGCAGTGTAAGAGAAAATCCATTCTACTTTCTTGCTACTAACCTCCGTGAGCAAGATGTTTTTTGGGTCACTAACTTGTAATTTGTAGTAATTGAGAAGATATGGGTTGCTGGGATGGTAAAGAGACTGACGTGACTCCTGTATGTGTAGATGCCTGAAAGAGATCAGTAAGGTAGTGGTAAAAAAATGAGCAGAACGAAGGAGAAAAAAGAAACTAAGTGAAGAGAAAGAGCAGAAGGAAAAAAGAGAAATAAGAGTGTAGCGTCATACACTTCCCCAAAATCAATAGCCTAGGGTTTGACGACTTTCGACATTGATGCTGACCTTGATAGTTTAACTGGACTCGCTAAGCTGAAGGCACCCGGTCAAGCATCCTGGCCATTTGGCACGCTGTCGTGTTACGTTGCATTGCTCGTATTCGACTCTCTAGCCAGTTAGTTGGAACGCATCGGTATTTTGGCATAACCATCCAAATATACTATTCCATCCGACTACGCTATCGTGTTCTTCCTTGGTCTCGTATTCGTGGGTATATAACAAGTTCGAATAATTAGTGATTGGTCTTTGCGTCTGTCAAGTTCGCACCAGGACAAATCCTAAATTGGTGAGCCCGACGTGATCACATATCCCGACCAATAACAAGTATTGAATTGGTGAGCCTGTTCCATTTTATATTTGTTTATTGTTTTCATTTCGATAACATTTATATATCCATTTACTACACTTTCTCATGTCCGACCACACTCCCAAGCTTATTCGTATTAAGTCGACTACGAACACGATCCAACTCGTGCCATATTGGCCAGACAATGCAGAAACATGGTTTCTGTATGCCGAGGCAGATTTTCGAGAACAGGGTGTCTCAGATCCTCATTCTCGATTTCTTGCTGTCATACGGTCACTACCGCGAGAATTAAACAGGTATGTTACAGCAAACATGTTTAATCCTGAAGTAAGTGACCCTTATGCACTTCTAAAGGCCGCACTCTTGAAGAAAAGCGATCTCACAGATCGCCAACGTCTAGACGAATTGCTTCGTAACATCGAGCTAGGCAGCCACTCAGCTACTGAAGTCCTCGCACGCATGCGAGAAGTAATCGGTGCACGAACATTTGACGATGGTTTCTTCCGAGAACTATTTCTCTCGAAACTACCACAACCGGTGCAAACCGTGTTGGTGACACTCCAGTCAGTCCCACTCGACGACCTGGCAGCCTCAGCAGATAAAATACTGGAGATATCCAGCAGACCCGTCTCCAACGTATATTCTATCTGCGACAAAACAGAGCGCCAGGATTCAGAGGTGACCAAGTTGTGCAACTCTGTGAAACGGTTGCTACGATCTCGAAGTCCTAGATCACGTAGCACTTCACGGAAACGCACCTTGGCGCATCGCAGCAAGTCGTGTGGTAGCCCTAAAACGAAACCCAACAGGGTGGAAAACCCTGAATGGTGCTGGTTTCATAACACTTACGGGGATGAAGCCAGAAAATGTCGTAAACCATGCCGTTTTAAGAAGGACCCGAACTCGGGAAACGGTCACGCCGGCACGTGCTCACGGCAACCGTAGCCGGCGGAAAAAGCCGTTTGCTCTACGTCACGGATATTAAAACGAAAGTCCGCTACCTCGTCGACACCGGCGCAGAAGTTAGCGTTCTTCCAGCAACGACAAAGGAGCGTCATCTTGACCCATCCTTCAATCTTCAAGCAGCCAACGGCAAGGCAATCGCGACATTCGGGAGACGGTATGCCTACCTCAACTTAGGTTTACGCAAACCTATCCACTGGATTTTCCTCCTGGCAGACGTCTCTATGCCCATCATTGGCATAGATTTGCTAAACCATTACGATCTACTCGTAGATGCTCGCCGTCGACGACTGATAGATAACAGCACAAAGTTATCCATTGGCGGCACCACCTATGTAGGTCCGAGTTTAGCCATCGTTAGGACTAAACAATCAGACGACGCGTCCTACCAGGCAGTTCTGGAGAAATATCCAGAGTTACAGCAACCGAAGCACACTCTTCCGTGCATAACCAGCAATGTTATGCATCACGTCACAACCACAGGTCCACCTGTGGCATCCAAAGCGCGCCGTCTAGCCCCCGATAAGCTCCAAACGGCGAAAAATGAATTCGACCACATGCTCGACCTGGGCATTATCAGACCGTCGAACAATCCTTGGGCATCGCCATTGCACATGGTTCCCAAAAGGATAGCAGTGACTGGCGTCCAACCGGTGATTACCGAAGGCTCAACGCCAAAACAACTCCGGACTCCTACCCGATACATCAATACAAACCCTCGTATACTTTGCCTTTTTATATCAATTTTTATTTACCATGTAATGAAATTTAAAAAAAAACGGTAAAGATAAGCGTAAATTTTTATTTTTCGATATGTTGATATATAAATAATTCCCATTTTTACGCAACGTTTTCGTGGTATTAAAGACTTTTATTTATATTCCAGGTGCAACGAGCACTGGACGGAACGTCGAAAGGAACAGATGACCGCGACCGACGTACAATTCCATTTATTGTATTTTATTTATTTAATCGCCACGACACCCTAGAATAAGGTTCAGACAACCAGGGGCCACCTCACGCAGTCAGCCCATCGGAAGAGTTTTACCAGTGGAGAAACCACTGGGTTTTTACTTCCGGCTGGTATCGTCTTAGGGTCCTCACGAACCCACTAGGGGGGGAGTGATCTGTAGCGTCATACACTTCCCCAAAATCAGTAGCCTAGGGTTTGACGACTTTCGACATCGATGCTGACCTTGATAGTTTAACTGGACTCGCTAAGCTGAAGGCACCCGGTCAAGCATCCTGGCCATTTGGCACGCTGTCGTGTTACGTTGCATTGCTCGTATTCGACTCTCTAGCCAGTTAGTTGGAACCCATCGGTATCAAATAAATGTATGTACGCTATCGTGTTCTTTCTTGGTCTCTTATTCGTAGGTGTATAAAAAGTTCGAATAATTGGTGGTTTGGCCCTGAGCCTGTCAAGTTCGCACCAGGATATTTCCTAAGGGCCAGGCTCTCACGGAGAAAATAGTGAACCTGAGTATAGAGTTGACCCTCTGATGTGATATCTTAACGGGGTTTCCTCGAGAAGACCGCTGTGTTGCAGATAAGGTTGAGTTGTTTGCGTGTTTTGCCTGATGCGCGATCTTGTAGGCCAAGATAAGGTAGCTTCCTTCCTACGATAATCCATGGAAATGCCATCCTGTTTCGCCACACAAGTGATTTTGCTGCGGTTTTTTGTATTTTTCTATGAGATTGGAGCCTATCTTGAGTGTTGCGCGGGGGTGCATCCTTAATGAAGACTGCTAGATGCGGCTACACGTAGGGCTTGAAAACGGTGAGGAAGATTTCGGGAGTGAGGGCGCTAAGCTGCCTATACAGAAAGTGCAAAATGATGTACGCTCTGGTCGTTATACCTTTGTGGTTGGAGCTAGTGTCCAAGGTGTCGGAGAATTTGAGCCTCAAATTCTTCACCAATGACACTCTGGTGATAGCACGGTTGCTCAACATGTACTGGAGGTCGGTCTTACTTGCTTTGCACTCACTGATGTGTGTTACTTTGCACCTTTCCAGGTTGAAGCTCAACCCATTTTCTAACGGCCGGAGTTCGAGTTGCTGCAAGTCTTTTCTTAGTGCTGTAGAGTCAGCTTCTTCGTTTACCACTTAAGTGTTGTCAGTGAAGATGAGGATGGGTGAGAACATTTTGTCTGGCAGATCATTGACAAACAGAAGGGAGAGAAGTGGTCCTTGGGATACTCCTGACGTCGACGGTTTCCACTCCGACTTAATTCTGCTTAGTTTTGTGGATAAATGCCTTCCACGTGCTCTTTGAACCAAGAGAGTAGAGGTTCACTTATGCCAGCTGGCATAATTCTGTGAAGCAGGGCTGTGGTTGGAACATTGTCAAATGCTTTGGCTAGGCCAGGAAAATAATATTTGCCGGTTCCCAGCTGAGTGTTCAGTCGTCCCAGACGGTTAGTAAGTCTGTGGCACATGAGCGACCACTCCGAAATCTATGCTGAGCAGTATGCACTGTGGTTTCCTTGTTGAGGAATTCGTAGACAGTGTCGGCTACCAGGCTCTCCAACATTTTAGACACAATGTAGAGTAGAGCAGCTGGCCTGTAACTGCCGGGGCTTTCCCTGTTTCTTCCCTCGAGGATAGGTGACAGGATGGAGCTCTTCCGTCCTTTAGGGAGTCTGCACGACTCTACTGAGTGCTTGAAGAGATTGCAGGTTGGTTTCACAAGCACCTTGGCGCAGATTTTTAGAATCACCGGTTTAAGGTTTTCGTAGCCAGGGGACTTGCTTGGACGTAAACTATATAGTTTCTCCGACACTTTTTTCTCTGTGACTGAGATGTCACACAGG